AAAGTTGAGATATTCCCAGACTTCATTGCTCATCTTCATTAAACGAGTGACTTAAATGTCAGTTTTGCTCTTATTATCTAATGTCTAGCACATCTGTTGTGTGGGGACTTGTATACAGTGCCTTGAAAAAGTATTCATACCCCTTGAAATTTTCCACATTTTGTCATTTTACAACCAAAAACGTAAATGTTTTATTGGGATTTTATGTGATAGACCAACACAAAGTGGCACAGAATTGTGAAGTGGAAGGAAAAAGGTAAACAGTTTTCAACATTTTTTTTTTACAAATAAATATCTGAAGAGTGTGGCGTGCATTTGTCTTCAGCCCCCTTTACTGATACCCCTAACTAAAATCTAATGGAACCAATTGCCTTCAGAAGTTACCTGATTAGTAAACAGAGTCCACCTGTGTGTAATTTAATCTCAGTATAAATACAGCTGTTCTGTGAAGCCATCAGATTTGTTAGAAAACATTAGTGAACAAACAGCATCATGAAGGCCAAGGAACACACCAAACAGGTCAGGGATATAGTTGTGGAGACCTTTAAAGCAGGGTTAGGTTATAAAAAAAATATCCCAAGCTTTGAACATCTCATGGAGCAATGTTCAATCCATCATCCCAAAATGGAAAGAGTATGGCACAACTGCAAACCTACCAAGATATGGGCGTCCACCTAAACTGACAGGCCAGGCAAGGAGAGCATTAATCAGAGAAGCAGCCAAGAGGCCCATGGTAACTCTGGAGGAGCTGCACAGATCCACAGCTCAGGTGGGAGAATCTGTCCACAGGACAAAAATTAGTCGTGCACTTCACAAATCTGGCCTTTATGGAAGAGTGGCAAGAAGAAAGCCATAAGAATTCCCATTTGCAGTTTGCGAGAAGCCATGTGAGGGACACAGCAAACATGTGGAAGAAGGTGCTCTGGTCAGATGTGACCAAAATTTAACTTTTTGGCCTGAACGCAAAACGCTATGTGTGGCGGAAAACTAACACTGCACATCACCCTGTACACACCATCCCCACCGTGAAACAAGATGGTGGCAGCAACATGTTGGGATGCTTTTCTTCAGCAGGGACGGGGAATCTGGTCAGAGTTGAAGGGAAGATCGATGGAGCCAAATACAGGGCAATCTTAGAAGAAAACCTGTTAGAGTCTGCAAAAGACTTGAGAATGGGGCGGAGGTTCACCTTCCAGCAGGACAACGACCCTAAACATACAGTCAGAGCTATAATAGAATGGTTTAGATCAAAGCATATTCATGTGTTAGAATGGCCCAGTCAAAGTCCAGACCTAAATCCAATTCAGAATCTGTGGCAAGACTTGAAAATTGCTGTTCACAGATGCTCTCCATCCAATCTGACAGAGCCTGAGCTATTTTGGAAAGAAGAATGGGAAAAAAAATTCCCTCTCTAGATGTGCAAAGCTGGTAGAGACATCTCCAAAAAGACTTGCAGCTGTAATTGCAGCGACAGGTGGTTCTACAAAGTATTGACTTGGGGAGGCTGAATACAAATGCACACCACACTTTTCAGATATTTATTTGTAAGTTTGAAAACCATTTATCATTTTCCTTCCAGTTCACAATTATGTGCTACTTTGTGTTGCTCTATCACATAAAATCCCAATAAAATGCATTTACGTTTTTGGTTGCAACATGACAAAATGTGGAAAATTTCAAGGGGTATGAATACTTTTTCAAGGCACTGTATGCGTTACAATCCAATACTGTATACGACACAAGAAATCCGGAGGGAAAAGCTATAAGATTTCAACCAAATATAGATATTAAAAGCAAAGTCCATAATTGTGGAGGGAGTATAAGTTTCAGAGGTTTCCACATTAAAATCTAACATATAACATGAATATCGGTTGTGCTGAAACATGCAGTGATATGGACAGCAATATGCAAAATGGCATAAAAATTGTACCCAAATGCAAAACCAAGAATCACAAGTCTACGAAGGTTCAACATGCACAAGGTTTTAGTAAATAAGACAATATGAGAGGTCAGTAAATCAATCCCAATTCCAGAAGATAGGGACCAAGTCTGAATACGTCAATCATGGAAGCTCATGGAGGTCTGAATCCAGGACCATTGTGATGAACCTGGATACCCATCTCCAGCACACTGTGTTGTAGTGTACTTGTTTTAAAATGTAACAGTGGGAATGGGGTCTTATGCAGGCTTCATTGCATTGCTTGCTTTGTTTCCAGGTGCATCAGAAACTGCACCTGACTTCTTTTTTTTTTTTTTTTTAGCAACACAGCACACCACTATCAAAATGAATATCACCATAATACAGTTAAAGGATAACTAAACCTATGTAGTCATCTAAATGCCTAATAAGCTCTGTACCCATGTAAATCACAACTCTCTGGAGCACAAGAACAAAATTAGAGTCAAAGGATAAATGTGATACAGCGCTAAAAAACTATTGATAAAACCATTAGTATAACATTTAAAAAAGATAAACAAATCTGTGATAAAAATAAATATAAAGCATATAAAAATAAGAGAAATATATTGGAAAGAGCTATGACTAGCAAAACTTGTCTATAACATAGGTTCAAGATTGTGGTATAAAACTTTTTGTTATAGCATTAACCTTTCAAGTTGTTCTCCATAGCACTCAGGGAAGAGGACATAAGAACAGCAAACTCATGTAAAACCACACGTACATGTGCAATGCACTACACTTGCGCACATACAATATAAAAATCACTTAATACCCTTTGATCACTGCCACAGACCCAGCTGTATAGTGGTGTATTGTTTGAATGTGGAGAACCTGGAGGGGCAGTCACTAATCGCATGGTATCACTAGGGCATTCACTGTGAAGGCCTGTGGGTGCCTCGGCATGGCAATGAACTTGTCTAGTTTTCTGTGGCTTTTCCAGGCTATGGCAAAGGGCTTGAGAGACCTCTGGATGCAGAGCTCATTCCCCTGAATATTGACACCGATGGCTGAGAACATCTGCCTACCAATTTTCCACACCTAGGATGCGGACAGAGGACATGGCGGGAACAAGACGTTCTGCCCAAGAAAGCATTGTCTACTTTCCTTAGAGTGACATGACTTCTGGTGCCTCCTTGATGAATGATGTAGGCCATGGCTATGGCATTGTCCAACTGTATTCTTGTAGGGTGTCCTCGCAATAGGGATTCCAGCGTTCCAGGATGTTGATTGGAAAGTAAATCTCCTCCAATGACCAAGTCCACTGCACCAGGAAGGTAATCAGGACTCCCCATCTTGACAGGCTGGCATCTGTTGTGAGAACCACCCACAACAGCAGAGGAAAGGGTTTCCCTAATTCCAGCGCCAGACTGGAAATCCACCACATCAGGGAGTGTCTAGTCGTGGGGTACAGATGCATGGGGCCGCGCAATCATTGAGTAAATTTGTCCTATTCAGCCAGAATGTTCAGTTGCAACAGTCTGGAGTGAAACTGTGCATATGCATTGCATCAAAGCAGGCTACCATTAGGCCCAAGACCCTCAATGAATTAAAAAATCAAGGGCTTCTTCTGGACCTGAAGAGCCCTGGCATGAGAACGAAGAGACAGTTGTTTGTCTCGAGGCAGAAAAGCTCTGGACAAATTCATGTCCAGTGTCAGATGCAGGTATTTCAATTTATGAGATGGTTTCAGTCTAAGCTCTGCAGAACCCATATTTTTTGTTGGATGTTGATTGACAGGGACAGGGAGCACTGATCTTTTAAAAGATTGTCCAGGCACCCCAACATGTTAATTACCCGAGAAGAAAGCAGATCAAAAACTGGGACAAACACCTACCTAAACACTTGTGTGGCCTTAAGAGATCAAAGGGATGAGAACCAGGAGATGTTGCTCAGCTGGTGTCTTGCATCCAAAGAGGAAGGGCATGCACGTGCAGTAACTTTCCTCAAAGTCAGGTGGTGCATGCAAAGAACATGCTTTAGGCTGGTGCACTACATAGCCACAGAGCAGAAGGTAAACTTCACTACAGTGCCCCCATCATGCACCCTCTAGCAAGACAGGGAAAGCAGGTGCCAAAGCCAAAAACCCCAGCCCATTCTGGATTGTATGACTGTACCAACATAAGTGTGGACAGCAGTCTCAGCACACCCAAAAAGGGGAATAAAATGGGCACCCTGGGAAAAAGGTTAAAGGGTTTCCACCCTGTACTCACCAAATTCAGTAGCAGGAGCAACAGAGATAAAACGCTTTCCTGGCTTTACCCTCGACAGTAGGCACACCTCTGCATTTTCAGCCCGATCCCTGTTCTCTTCCTGTCAGTGCTGCAATGGTTAACACCTTTGAATCTTCAGACAGAACAGCAGTACAGATGGTTCCACAGGGACCAGCCCCTCTTTCCTCCTCCTCCATTGAGAAAAGTGCTTTCATTGATTATGCTGCTTCTAACAGGATCTGTGAATGGGGGAGAGAATCCTGTGACTGATCAGACTCTTCCCCATTCACAGATTGTTAAGAGCAATCTAATCAATGAAAGCACTTTATTCAATAGAGAAAAAGGAAGGAGGGGGAAAGTGTTTATCTGTAGCGTTGTTCTATTTGAAGACCTGAAACAGTTAATTACTGCAATGCTGGACGTTTAGAGACAAGGCAACCCTGCAATGAAGATTTCCCCAGAACCCAGCAGCCTGCACAACATATGACATATTTCATTATAAGTAAGTGATGTGACTAAGGCTGTAAGGAATGTATGTTTTAACTAAACTTCAGTTTTATTTTTCAAAATGGCTTTGTCAGGGTCAGTAAAGCCTCTGAATAATACCTCAATTTACCGCTTCACTGGAAACACTTTTTAAGTATGGCCTTGTATCATTTGCATAACAGCAAAAAAAAAAAAAGACAGATTAAAAGAATATTTTTTCTGTAATTCTACTGAACACAAAATATTTTACAGAGTGGTGTGAAATTCAATAACATAAACAAAGAACTAAGATTTTAACATCTATAACATGTTGCCTAAACCCTATTTAAAAAGCCTTTTTGTTTTAATTTGTCATTGCAAAGATGTTTTGAGCTTTTCCTCCCGGTGAGGTGGTAGGGGAAATTTCCCCTGTGAAGGCAGAAAAGCGGTATTCCAGAGGTGTATCTTGTTCTCTTTTTCTCTGTAATATTTCTGCTTGAAGCAAGGTGGCCTGCAAATACACAAAAAAATGGTAATAAATTGTGTTAAGCTTTTTTTCCCCTATGGATTTAAAGCAAGGTATAAAACATGTTAGTGGTAGAAACAGTATCCTTGGAAATTATAAGGCAGAGAGAACCAATTAACCACAGTACTGAATAATCATTATTTTGGTTTTAAAGAAAATGTAGAGTGTTTTTTTCATTTTAATTATTTTCTATTATTTTGCAGACTCAAAAAGTAAAAGTTTTTCACTTTATTAAAAAAAAAAATCTATTCAAGTAAATTTTCAAATTGCATGTGACAGGAGAGAGGCACCTGGCATTTTGTATTGAGACCTAAACAGCAGGATATTAGATTTTACATATACAGTATCTCACAGAAGTGAGCACACCCCTCACATTTTTGTAAATATTTTATTCTATCTTTTCATGCGACAACACTGAAGAAATTACACTTTGCTACAATGTAAAGTAGTGAGTGTACAGCTTGTATAACAGTGTAAATTTGCTGTCCCCTCAAAATAACTCAACACACAGCCATTAATGTCTAAACAGCTGGCAACAAAAGTGAGTACACCCCTAAGTGAAAAAGTCCAAATTGGACCCAATTAGCCATTTTCCCTCCCCAGTGTCATGTGACTCGTTAGTGTTACAAGATTTCAGGTGTGAATGGGGAGCAGGTGTGTTAAATTTGGTGTTATCGCTCTCACTTTCATACTGGTCACTGGAAGTTCAACATGGTACCTCATGACAAAGAATTCTCTGAGGATCTGAAAAAAAAAGAATTATTGCTCTACAGAAAGATGGCCTAGGCTATAAGAAGATTGCCAAGACCCTGAAACTGAGCAGCAGCATGGAGGCCGAGACCATACAGCGGTTTAACAGGACAGGTTCCACTCAGAACAGGCCTCGCCATGGTCGACCAAAGAAGTTGAGTGCAAGTGCTCAGCATTATATCCAAAGGTTGTCTTTGGGAAAAAGATGTATGAGTGCTGCCAGCATTGCTGCAGAGGTTGGAGGGGGGGGGGTGGGGGGGTCAACCAGTCAGTGCTCAGATCATACGTTGCACACTGCATCAAATTGGTCTGCATGGCTGTAGTCCCAGAAGGAAGCCTCTTCTAAAGATGATGCACAAGAAAGTCCACAAACAGTTTGCTGAAGACAAGCAGACTAAGACATGGATTACTGGAACCATATCCTGTGGTCTGACGAGACAAACTGATTTGGTTCAGATGGTGTCAAGCGTGTGTGGCTGCAACCAGGTGAGGAATACAAAGACAAGTGTGTCTTGCCTACAGTCAAGCATGGTGGTGGGAGTGTCATGGTCTGGGGCTGCATGAGTGCTGCCAGTACTGGGGAGCTACAGTTCATTGAGGGAACCATGAATGCCAACATGTACTGTGACATACTGAAGCAGAGCATGATCCCCTCCCTTTGGAGACTGGGCCGCAGGGCAGCATTCTAACATGATAATGACCCCAAACAGACCTCCAAGACGACCGCTGCCTTGCTAAAGAAGCTGAGGGTAAAGGTGATGGACTGGCAAAGCATGTCTCCAGACCTAAACTCTATTGAGCATCTGTGGGGCATCCTCAAATGGAGGGTGGAGGAGCGCAAGGTCTCTAACATCCACCAGCTCCGTGATGTCGTCATGGAGGAGTGGAAGAGGACTCCAATGGCAACCTCTGAAGCTCTTGTGAACTCCATGCCCAAGAGGGTTGAGGCAGTGCTGGAAAATAATGGTGGCCACACAAAATATTGACATTTTGGGCCCAATTTGGACATTTTCATTTAGGGGTGTACTCACTTTTGTTGCCAGCGGTTTAGACATTAATGGCTGTGTGTTGAGTTATTTTGAGGGGACAGCAAATTTACACTGTTATACAAGCTGTACACTCACTACTTTACATTGTAGCAAAGTGTCATTTCTTCAGTGTTGTCACATGAAAAGATAATAAAATATTTACAAAAATGTGAGGGGGTGTACTCACTTCTGTGAGATACTGTACATAAATGAATAAATCCCAATCCCTCCTTTGTCTAGATTTTCTATCTGCAAAAGCACAATAACTAGAAGTGAACATTCTTATTTAGAAGCCCAGCATGCTCTACAAGTACCCGCACCATAGAAGAAAACTGCAATAAATGTTTGTGAAAAAAAAATAAAAACTATCAGTGGATACAGTATATTTCAATTTTTTTTAGAAAAATGCATTATAATTCCCATTTAAATATGTCCAGGGAAAGGGTCTACTGATCAGAAGGGTCGAGTAAGAGTTTCTTCTGTACAATGGAGGGAGGGAACTGGGACATATGGGGTGATTCATCCAGGTATATGGGTTCCAGGTCAGCCAATACTTTGAAAAGTTAGAAGGTGGGGCATGCTTGGAATCCGTCTACCTGCAGCATTCTGTGCACCACTGTTTCTGGACCCTACTACATGTACAAACAACAAATAATGCACGTATGTGATATCGCTGCGATTGTCAGAAGCAGGATAATTTAATATGGGTTGTTCTTTGGTGGTAAGTTACACAGTCTGGCTGAAAAAAGACAAAAGTCCATCCATTTTAACCATAAAAAAAGTTATAATCCTATACCCACAGTTGATCCAGAGGAAGGCAAATAAAACCCAGCAAAACACGATCCAATTTGCTCCTGCAGGGAAAAAAATTCCTTCCTGATCCCCCAAGAGGCAATCGGATATTCCCTGGATCAACTTTACCTATAAATGTTAGTATCCAGTTATATTCTGTGTATCATAGAAAGAATCCAGGCCTCTTTTAAAACAATCCACTGAGATGACCAGAACCAACTCTTGAGGGAGTCCATTCTGCATTTTTACAGCTCTTACTGTGAAGAAACCTTTCTGTATTAGAAGATTAAATCTCTTTTCCTCCAGACGTAAAGAGTGCCCCCTTGTCCTCTGTGATGACCTCAGGGTGAATAACTCTACACCAAGTTCACTATGTGAACCACTGATGTATTTATACATGTTGATCATATCCCCCCTTAATCTCCTCTTCTCAAGAGAAAATAAATTCAGTTCCTCTAATCTTTCCTCATAGCTGATCTCCTCCATACCTCTTATCAGTTTTGTTGCCCTTCTCTGTACTTTCTCCAGTTCCCCAATGTTCTTTTTGTGAATTGGTGCCCAAAATTGAACTGCATATTCCAGATGAGGTCTTACTAATGATTTGTACCGGGGTAATATGATATCTCTCTCTCTGGAGTCTATACCTCTTTTAATACAAGAGAGGATTTTGCTCGCTTAGAAACCGCAGCTTGGCATTGCATGCCATTATTAAGCTTGTGATCTACCAGAACTCCCAGATCCTTCTCCACCATTGATTCCCCCAGTTGTACCCGCCTAGTATGTATGATACATACATATTCTTAGTCCCCAAGTGCAGAACCTTACATTTATCAACATTAAACCTCATTTGCTACATAGTTTCCAAATTAAACAGTGCATTGAGGTCGGCTTGTAAGTTAGAGACATCCTGTAAGGACGTTATTCCACTGCACAGCTTGGTGTCATCTGCAAAGACTGAAATGGTATTTATAATCCCAGACCCTATATTGATTATAAATATATTAAAAAGTAAGGGTCCCAACATTGAACCATGGGGTACACCACTGACAACCCTAGACCTTTCAGAGTATGAATCATTAACCACTAATCTCTGAATACGTTCTTTTAGCCAGTTTTCTATCCATTTTCCAAGCCTGTAGAATTTGCCTTACACATTAGCCGTGTGTGGGGAACTGTGTCAAACGCTTTTGCAAAATCCAAGTATACTACGTCCACTGCCACCCCTCTGTACAAGTATACCACATCCACCGCCACCCCTCTGTCCAAGGTTTTGCTCAAGGCCTTGAAAAAGTCACGGTATAGCGTGACGTAACGCGTAGGATGCGAGTGTGGTGACGTACTTCTGGCACGGACGCCATCTAGCTGCACCACCCAATGAGTTCCCATGAAAGTTCACCTTTAGCATGAGGTTTTTTGAAAAGCTTGTTATAATCTTACTAAATGTGAGTGGGCATTTGGCTGTGCTGTAATTTGAGAGTCCCTATTAAAACGGATTTACGCTATGGGAGGTTTCTTTTTATCTTTATCCTATCTGTGAGTTGGTGGCTGGCTGCTTTACATTGGAGGGGACCTGGCTATTGCTAGTGAGGGGGATATCATCTGCCTGAGCAGGTGTCCATTACCAGTGAAGATTCTTGGCTTCAAAAAACAAAAGCGTTTTGGCCCTTTGAGGATCGCATCAAGGAGGTGAGGGGGTATTTTAGCCACATACGGTGGTGATGCACATCCACAATATCACCTGCACTTAGGAGTAATTGGAAAGTTTTTGGTGTATATGCACCTATTTGGACAATTTTTTTTTTATGTGTTTGCTCATAAATATACTTTTTGTATGTGTGTTTTTTGGCACTATTGTATTTAATTGATCCCACATTTAGGGATCCATTTTATGTCACTATTTACTTTTTGGCTTAATTTAGCCATTATTTGTCACGATCTGCATGATACGTTGATCCTTGTTAGGGGTTCACGCTCTCATTTTCACCATCATTTGCATGAATTTATTGATCCCTATTTAGGGATTCACGCTTATTTGTGTTTTATTTTGTGTATGATCCTATTTTGGCTAGTGGGGGTATTGGTTCCTGGTTTTTTATACCAGGTGTGATCACTTTTTTACTTAAGATCCCAGAGAGGGTCAAATCCACTGATTTATTGGCACGTATATATATTTTATGTCACTTTATATTGAGATCCCCAGAGAGGATCAATCCACTGATTTTTTGTCACATATATATATATTTATGTCACTTTGTTTGTTTTTGCCATATTGTATTATTTTATTATTAGGGTAGCACTGCATCATTTTGGTTTCGTTAGGAGCTATCCATTACCATCAAATGAAAGCCCAGTTTGTCCTGGAAAAAAACAAACAAGTTTTAAGCCATCTGGATACACAAAACAGTTGCAATGATATGTACAGTTTTACTAAAACATCCCAAATTTGCAAAACTGTGCTTAGGCTTTAGGATTTTGTTTTACCCTCCGTCATGAAGGGTTTAAAGTGATTACAAAGGCTTAAAGTTTTTCAACTTAATGCATTCTATGCATTAAGGTGAAAAACCTTCAGTGCTGCAGCTCCCCCAGCTCTCCTTTTTCTTACTGGAGCTTGATCTGATCCAATAATGTGCACAAGAGGAGCAGCTCTCATCACTGTCTCCCTTCTCACTCGGCCATCAGCTCCTGTAGCTGTCAATCAAATGCTGTGACATGGGAGCGGGGGTTGGGGCTGAGCCACCTGCTCTGTGTCAATGGCCGCAGACAGGGCAGCTCGGAAGCGAAAAGAAGGGCCAGCAGTGGACCCCAGAAGGGGAGGATCGTGGCTGCTCTGTGCAAAAGCATTGCACAACAGTTAAGTATAGACTTGTATATTAATTAAATTAAAAAACAAAGCAAAAAAAAATAAGGTTTGTATAGGGATAAACTATGATCCTTAAAACATCACATATATAGAATGTTGTAAGATGGCTGAATACTCCCATTTTGTCTCATCAAAAATGTTTTTATAACTTCAAATATTTCAAGTTGTTCATTGCAAAACACATATCTTAATTGGAATTGTGCCATTAGGCATGTGTGACGTTCCAGGAGGGGTATAGTGTCCGCCTTGGTCCTTCCAAAGGTGATCATTTTCTATTTGATAAAAAGGGCTATATAAGTAGAGAGGGACTCTGAAGATCTGAGTACAATGAGGGTGGACACTGTATTCCCCATATACGTATATACAACAATAAATAGAATTTAGAGTCTCATCTCGTCTGAAGGTAATTATTCAAGTCTCCTTTAACCCTAGGTTCACACCTAAGCGTTTTCTGCAGAGTTTTGCAGAAAAGCAGTACAGTCCATTTAACATGATTTCCTATGGGTCATGTTCACACCTGTTCATTTTCACCCAGTGCAATTTTTGGAAAGGGTCAGGGACTTCTTTGAATGCAAAACGTTGCATTTTTGGTTCTATAGACTTCAATGAAAACACTACAGAAAAGCATGTATTGCGTTTTTGCTGCATTTTGCATTTTAAAAACAAAACCAAAAAAACAAAACGTGGCAAAAAAAAAGAACGCAAAACGCAATGCATAAACGGTTCAAACGCAACCTGCATAGGTGTGATCCTAGCCCAAAAGAGGAACTTGAGCAGGAGGTACTATCCTCCCTATACAGGTTTAATAATACATTAAAGCTTATCTTCATGCAGACAGCTAAATACACAGATGAAATAGATATAAGAGCTGTTTTACCTGCTAAAGAATTTGATTTTCTGCCCATCCAGCAAAGGAGACCTGATTTTTCTCTGCTGCAGTTCAGTAACACTTACAGGTCTTGTTCCTCCCCCAGCCTGTGACTGGACAGTGAAAGGAGATGCAGCAGATGGATTAGGTCATCTCTCTATCACTCTGCTTTCTCCTCCTATTTGCATGTCAATTGTTAGTCCATGAGCATGAAGCACAGCTTATTGGCTACGTTAATGAATAACCGTAACATTTCAGTGGGGTATCAAACACAACCCAACACCAACTAAAACTGAATCTGGGTGGGGTTGTCCTTTTATCCATGATAATCAGCAATATATTGGATGTTTCATTTCCTTTACACACTTATTAGTAGAAGTACAACCCTGTAAGTTGTGTCACTTTGCCTGTTCAAGTAAAACGAAAGTAACTTACCATCTCTAATTCCTTCCTGGCTGCCTCCATCTCTTCTTGTGCGGAATGCTTGGGGTTTCTCTTCCTCTCCTGCATGGCCAGGAAATGCTCTCTGATACGTTTTTCCAGTCGGAGGTTCTCTGGACACTCTATGAATATGAAATAAAGTTTTGTTTTTTTTTAACACAAAGATTCTCTTGTCTCCCTCTAAAATATGTTGACCTGATTTTTAAAGGATAGATGCCAAAGAGGTAGTCTGTCAAAAAATCCTCAGTTAGGAGGCTGATCTGCAGATGAAACATATTTGGTGCTTTTGGAAATATTTGGATCATTTTGAACGAAGAAGGAAGGGCACCATTGTAGACCAATGCAATATTACTGAAATAGCTGCAGATATGGGTTTTCTATTGCTAAGGATTGTGTTTAGATACCCATATAGAGCGATCACCACACATACCTGCAGCCCAGGAGATGGAAGAGTATGTGTGTGTGGGGGGGGGGGGGGGGCTGTTAAACATATATTTACTAGCTCCCTTCCTTTCCTTGAATGAAAAAATCAGTGATCAGTACCAATCGCTTGTGTTCAGTCATCACTGAAGCATCACAAACTGTGCTTACGATACTGCACTTTGTGAATGAATAGGAGTCTCTATACAGATTCCAATTCATTCATCCACTGTACAGTTGGGGCTGCCGAGAAAAGGACTAGAAAGGGACTGTCTTCAGTCCCTTTCTGTTTCAAAATGAGATTAAAGGCCTGTAAAGCAGCCCCCCCCCAGGAAAAAAATATTAAAAATAATATCGTACATGTTAATAAATTGGAAAAAAGAAGAGATAATGAACATAGCAAGGGTAGATTTAGATTTGTCTAAAACCCCCCTGCTTCTGAAGCCCAATTTGCAGGCTAACAAGCGGTAAGGAAGTGATACAATGCCACCGCTCTCCTTGTTTTAAACCCGTTCTTTCTGACAAATTCGCCGCAACTACATGGTTGTGGGGTGTTAGCGGCACTTTGACTTAAATGTGTTGTGTTCTGCGGGCTTGCTGTCCGTTGATCACTGCAAGTCAGGTCAACTTTGCCATGGGCTCAAGTGAAATAAGGCATTGCGGGCGCAGCTTGTAAGCACCCCTGTCTGCTACTGGCAGCAGTTTGAGGGGTAGTTGGCAGAAATGCAGCTCAACTGCACATTTTTTATACCCCCCAACCACAAGTCTAAACAGGGCCTAAGGCCTTGTTCACATAGGGCATTACTACAGCGAGGTCGTGTTTAGATGCACAGTGATGCTCAGGAGTTCCATGCATCACCAGCAGGCAGACCCGACACACAGCTGCCTGGATACAGTCACTGCTTCCATTTGAGTGGGTGCATGTCTCTGAACTCACACTGTCTGCGTTTGGGGCCATGCATCTACACTTGCACGGATGTCAGCCCTGTCCTTGCAGCCGCTGCATCCCAAATGACATGAATGGGATTGGTTGCACAGAGATACACAAACACCTGTGCATCCCCTTGCAGGTAAACATGGCCCTCCAGGGGCATACACTTTGGTAGACCCCATGTGAACGAGGCCTTAGTAGGAATTTTTTCTAATTTACCGTGCTTGTATCTGCTAATAATGATTTTAATGTATTTTTAGCAAAAATATAGTTTTCATAAATGTCACGGGGCCATAAAAATCAATCAGTGGCACCTTTTTATTCTACTGATCATGTGCTTTTTACAAACTCTGAAATCTGTAAGGGAAAAATAAAAAAAAAAGCAATGGAAAAATGGCAAAAATCGACTATCTGAGTTTGAAAGTGACACGTAGGGCCTGGCAGCAAAAGGGTTAAAGCAGAACTAGACCCTCCAATCCTTTACAGCCAAATAAACTGCCACCTCAGTTTGATCTGCAGTTGCCATGGTGTTGCACATATGATCAGTGAAGACATCAGCCATTTTTTGAAAGCACAAGCAACCTTTCCTAATTATGTCACTGCTTAGGGAAGTAGTCAAAATCTATGGATTTAGTTCTGCTTTAATAAATGGAGCCACCAAGCCATAATTGAAATCTAACCTCTTCCCGTCAACCATACACATACATGCGGTCTCACAGATGTGGATCTTTACCTGTGGGTGTGCATATACACGTAACTGTTTTTGTGCAAGAAATATACAGCTAAATTTAACCACCTCCCACCTGGCCAATGTACATAAACGGCCAGGTGGGAGCTTCCCCATTCTGAGTGAATTTTCCTGTACGTCCCTCAGAACAGGCACCTGCATGCGGCCCTGAGGCCGCGCAGCAGCGCAATTCCGTGATGGTTGTGTCACTTGGACACAGCACATCACTGATCGAGATATGGGCTCTCTGATTGGCCCTCCCAATCACAGCCATCTCTGAATGTCGACAAGGACACGTGTCTCTGTAGCTGCTTCCCCCATCAACATAGTCCATATTGATGGGGGAATCCCTCCCACAGATGGGGGAATCCCTTCCCGGATGACAGAACACCACGATTACTGCTAGTGGCTATAGCTGCTGGCAATAATTGTATATGGAAAATCAGACAGGCTGGTTGTACCCAAGTTGATCGTTGGTAAAACCAGCCTGCTTATAGATTAATTGAATACCAGCTGGTCCCTGCTGAACCTGTTGAGATTCGATCAACCTAATTGCCAGCTTTAGAGTCCAACATAAAACTAGCTAATCTGTTAGATGATGCATTACTATAGTAAGGGGAATTTGCACCTAACCAGCTATAGAGTTTGTCATAAACAGGGACAAGGAAAGGAAAATGTCCAAGGGGAAAGCTTTTAGTAAATTTACCAACATGCCGGTCAATTACACAAATTCCCTGTCTGGACAAGGAAACTAACAGGAAACCAAATAACACAAGCTATCACCATTCACAAATTAAAATGGAACTTCACCCTAAAGGGGAAGTTCTGCTTTATGTCATTATCCCCCCTCCTCTACCACATATGGCACATATACATATTTTAGAGGAGTGGGTACCTAGGCAATCTGAGCAAAAGTTTACCCTGGGTCCCAGAAGGCTGTCAGACCATTCACAAAACGCTGCGTGGATCGCACATGTGCAGTGGGAAACTAGCTGTGAAGCCGCAAGGAGTCATAGCTGGCTTCCCATAGTAAACTCGCCTGCACCGGAGACACTAAGACTGGTGAAGAACCGGTCTGGATGAGGATGGCGCTGGATTCCTGTACAGATAAGTGTCCTTTTATTAAAAGGCAGCAGCTACAATGTTTTGCTGAATTTTTTTCTTTCTACTGACATTTGTTTTCTTTTCTGAAGGTCCTCTTTAAAAGAAATTGCCCCTCAGTCCTTATACTTCTAGCCAGCAAACTCTGCACTACAGCACAGCTTTGATTTTCTCATAGTGGGAGCAAGTAGGGAGATTTTTTAGGGGTGTTGCTATAGCTAATGGGACACTCTTGATAACATATTAGGCATTAGAGAGGTGTGGCCACGAGTCAACACCTGACATTTTTTATTAATTTACTGCTTCCTGATGACTCCTGTCAGGGTTTTAAGTAGGTCTTAAGGCCAGGAGCAGGAAAGACTTCCAGATCAAAGTTGGCTCCGCCCATGAACAAGACCAGTAGCTGTCTGTAACAGCCTGGTCACTACGCTGGGAGCACACTCTTAGCACAGAAACCTTGGTCCCCATGGACACGTGTGGGGTGTCGCTATTAAGGCCCACCCGCTCTGCTACAGTACATATGCGTTATGTGGTTCTCAAGAGGTTTATATTTCCACTGAATAAAACAAGACTTTACAATGAAATAAAATGTAATAACATGATGAATATCTATTTTGTAAAATATACAAAAATAAATAACAGCTCATCTGTGCTAATTTGCATTTTTAAGGATATGGTCTTTCAGAAAGTATAGAGGGTTTACGCTGTATGGTAGATGGGTTTGATGTAATACGGTGTCCTCCTGACAGAACCATATATTGAAAGTAAGTGGTGAACAAAAAGTGGAAATGAGAAAACGTTTACACTTTTAAAAGAGGACACATTGAAAAGATGAAGGTAAAGGGGTGTTGATCTACACGTTTCAGAGATGCAAGACTTGGGGGGAAAGAACAAGGGGATGAAACATTGGCTGCCATGGAAGGGGCAGAAGGGTGGGGGATGCAACGTAAATATCTCAAAGGTAGAGGACAATTACATATTTTCTACTATAAAAAAGGTACCCATACATATGTTCTCTTAAAGGAGACGTATGGGGGGTATTTAAAAAGATAAACATCTATACTCACCTCTATGCTGCAGTATCAGTCTGATGTTGCAGTTGTCCAACATCGACTCTAAGCCCGCGAACTGAGCGATCACATAACTACTGATTGCTTAGTTTTCAGTCTGCTGCTCACCACTCCCTGCTCTGGCCCTCTAGCACTCACTGGAGTGCTGGGCTGGAGAGGGGAGCGGGTGCAGCTAGCTTTGGCTGAGAGCTAGCTGTCAATCAGGCAGCTGGGTGGATCCTGACAATATAGCCTAGCATGGTTCTGAGATGCTAGCTGACAGTGGGCTTTAGCTGCTATGAGCTGACTCTGGGTCACAGGAGAAAGTAGTGCACTCCTGTGACCCAGAAGGGAAGCATGACCAAAAAAAAGGCCTTGGCCATACTTCTGTTTTAATGTTTCCTGGTTAACGCAGTAAAAATGATTTCTTACAGCCATTTGAGGCCAGCTAGGCTGGCTGTATGATGCCTTGTCCTCACTCCACAAGTAGCCTGTAGTACATAGCAAAGTATCATCCCTCCTTTCCCCCATTAGAGTATAGATTATTTTGCTCAGGAACTCAAACTTTCTGTAATATTGATGTCAATTATATTCACAGTTCTTATATAAGGCATTTGTATTTAATTTTAAAGTAATACTGTGAGCCCAGCACATTGTGGCAATATAAATGCTACTAATACTAGTTAGTCGCTAGCAACAGTGAGAAACTTTCCATTTGCTATTTGTGACTTTGATAATGAGCCAGGCTGAGCTTGTGTTTGGGTGTACCACAGGGCATCTAATGACACAGTTTACATTCTATCACAGTGAATATGGCCACTGTTTATAAGACAAACCTTGCTTTCTCCATTTCCTTCAATGATTGCACTGACACGATCCTTGGCATCATCTCCTGCGTTTCAACTCCAAAAGGCTTCTGCTTATCCCAGTTTTGGGAAGAATCCAGATCTGTGGCATATGGAGGAACAGCAATGGGTACCTAGGCATGTAAAATGACATGGTGACTAGTAAAAAGAGGAACTGTGTGTGTCGAAAGGGTATACAATACTTACATTCACTGCACTGTATCAGGACTACCAGAGTGCATATTGGATGTAAAACTAAATCCTACCATACATCACAAGCAATAACTTTTATATAATTTTTTTTACACCATCAAAGCATACAGGCAAATGGTGAGGGAAGCCAACATTTGGCTTCAATCAAATATATACTTATTTTTTTGTAGTATGTTCCATAGCAGGCTACACTAAGGAAGGATTTTGTAAACCTGGTATCTCAAGTCTTATAAACAGTGCATGTTTTATGGATAAACACACAAGCAAAAGTGTATCAGCACACAAGAACAAAAATTCAGTGTTAAATAGAATGCAGCTTACTAGCGCTTAGATGTGGTGGCTGCATTCGTTCTTTTTTTTTTTCCACTTTACTTACCACACCTCCTTTGCTATAATGACAATGTTCACTCACTCTACTCTACTTACTCTTTGGAGGAGCAGCATTGTCACCCTAGGACAAGAAGTGTTTGGACTATAGAACACCTCCCTTCCTAACATAGGGGGTAGATGTTCTATAGTCCTAAAACATTTTCTGATCACTTTGTTTGGGACAACATTGCAGAAAGGGCACGCGACAGTACTGGAGTTCTGGCAGGATCAACTTTTCTTTTTTTTTTGCACTTATTTAACAGTTTTAACAAAACACTTGATATATTCAACAGACTAAAAGGAAGCAAATAGGAGAACTTCATTATCACAATTTACATTTATATTAAAGAGAAACTCTGGGAAAACATTCTCATTTCAAGATCTCAACTATACCTCTTTTACTTGGCTGCATGCTGTATGCTGCTATAAATCAAAGCAACGTATCACAGTCAGGAGTCAGCATGACACCCCTGGAGCCTATAGCTTTGAAGGGGACCTGAGAGATTAATGAAGCTGCCATTCTGATGCTTGGATTTCAATGCTTTCGAAGTCACTGACCGAGAACAATTTTAGAGAGAAGTGGATCTGACTTATTTTCTAACCCTCATTTACAACATCCTAGTTCTGGGTCTGCAAATGAAAAGTATTCAAGTCAGACAAAGCAAGACATCTAACACTTCCAGAAGAAGAGTGCAATGGCAGCCCAAAATTTCAAAACAAGTCAGGAAGGGCACTCAGCAGCTCTTGGGCAAACACTGTGTTCAAGACCATTTTTTTTTGCCTATGCTTAGTTGCAAACTACTTTTAACAACTGTGAGTGATATGCTGATCTGAGTCATTCAATGATTTCTAGTGAAAACAATGCCTGCTACAACACTGGAAATCACCTCCAATATGGGGACACTGAAGACTGCAACCAAAGCTAAACAGACCCTGAGTAGTGCCCTAGGAATGCCCCATGCTCCAACAAGCCTTCTTCCCAATCATCTAAGCCACAGGCATCCAACTTTTCCTTCCTGTCGCTGGATTTGAAGATTCCCAGCCTCTGTAGGTAAGGAGAATATGGCCAGGAGGGACATTGGTAAGCTCAATGCAGCATACGGGACTGATACCGATTCCTGGACTGCAAGATTTGATGGGCTACTTAAGGAAGAAATGAAAGAGATTCACCAATAGGCAGCCGTAGATAATGACACATTCCAACTCCAAATTCTCCAACCCATACCCCTCAACTCCATGGATCCTCCCTCGTAGATTGAAAGCTCTAACAAGCAGGACCCTCTGATTACTCCTGTATTAAACTGTATTGTAATTGTACTGTCTGCCCTTAAGTAGTAAAGCACTGAGTAAACTGTTGGCGCTCTATAAATCCTGTATAATAATAATAATCATGAAACCTGTACAGTGAATATGGAAAAGGTGAGCATGATACAGCATAATTGCATTCAACAGTTCCAACTCAGAGTGAAGGATTGAAGAACTGTAGCCAGCTGAACATTATCCACATATGCAATCTGACCGAAGCAACGACAGGCCAGGAGCTACAGCCAATAGTGACTGCCACGGATGAGAAAGACTTGGACTGGATCCACTGGGCGACTGGCTCATGGGGGATCTTTTAAACTACCCTTGAAAAGCGATTTGTAGAGTAAATTATTATGCATTGAAAAAAGAGATCATACAGGAGGACGCCCCATTCACTCCCAATCAGTATTCAGGTAAAGAGGGGCACCAGACAGTCTGTGCTGCATACCCCAGATGAACTTCTAGCCCCGTTTCTTGAAGGCCGACATCCCCATTTGTAAGTAGCTAGATCCAACTATAAATGAATATCCAGTCAGTGTCATTGTCATAGTTATTCATGAAGGTCAAGTAGGATTTGTACAAGGTCAAGAGGCAAGAGATAGTATTACGAAAACACTCTTAGACTGGGTTCACACTAATGCGTTGTGGGACACTGCATATAATTTGCACAGAAATCGCACCACATTCCTGTGCGAATTACATGCGATGTCTGTGCGGTGTAAATTGAACCATCCATTTTGTATGGCACAAGTCGCATCACATCCGCACCAAAAAGATGCAGAACCCTTTTTTTTTTACCTGTACCTGCATTGCATTGAATGGGTGTTCTCAGCAATATGATGTGATTTTTGGCAATCGCACTGCGTTTTGTGATCATTTCGGTGTCATTAATTTAACATTGACACCCACACAAGATCACATGAAAGCCATACAATTGCAAGGAAACGCAGAGGATTTGCAGCATTTCCCACACCGCATCAGTGTGAACTCGGTCTTCTGTCAAACCTCTAAAACCCCCATGTGTCTCATATCGGTAGATGTAGAACAGGATTTGCAAGACCCGGCTACCAGTTCAATGAAGATCTTGTAAGTGGGACTGAAGAGAGGTATTTAAACTAGGGGAACAGGAATGTAAAGGACAATTTCACTAAAGGTGAGGTTGTTCTTTAAAAGATAACAAAATGTGTATATATATCTTCAGATACATATACATGTGCCGCGCTCCATATATACAAGTGATCATATGAATAGTGCTATGAAAAAAACTTTTTATGTGCTTCAAATCAGTGCAACATATAGTGCTCAACCAAATGAATGCTGATTCAATACTAAAAAATAGTCCTCTTTATGCTTTAAATATATTCAGTGACAAATTCAGTGCCGTGCCACACTCCCCGTGCTCTATAGATAGATGTGCGCTCACCGCCTTCTTTAGCCAAACACAGTGGCTAACAGCGCTTTTTGTCCTCTCAGGACTAGGTAGTAATCTTCATATTATATATCCATCCATGCCATGGATCTATATTGCCTTTTTCCTGCCACCAGAGGTCTCCCTTTTTCCTCCTTCCACACTGAGCCTCAATGGATAGTAGGGATGGTTATCAGTAGTATTTCCTCCTCCCAGTAAATTTGGATACCATGTAAGAAAGAGCCACAATAGTGCCTTATCCTTTGTGAGGTTAAATCTTTTATTATGAATAAGTTGCCACTCACATTGTGCTGTCTCCCACAGAGCTGTATCCAACAGAGCTGTGCCCAGATCCTGTGTTTGTAAATGCCGCTCGTCCACCGCGGCGGCGTGACGTCAGAGCCCCTCCCCTACGCGTTACGCCACAGGGTCACGTGGCTTCATCAGGGGGAAAACAATTGGACGTCACTCCGCCCTGCTCTATATATATAGGCAGTCGGCGCCATTTTCTTGTAGACCGCATGCGCGCGGCCATTTTCCTGGGGTCTATATATGCTAGTTCACTACTGATATGTATTCACATATCAACAGTTCCATACAATATACTCAACTTCGTTCCTATTGCTATTTCTGACTGCATTGTCACTATTTACAAGCCAACAGGATCTTAGCACATTTACAACTTAATCATTAGTGAGCAATAATTTATATACCTATTACATGCATGATTTTATTAAAATATATCTATACCATTTTATTTATTAACAATTGAAATATACACAATAAAAAAAAAAAAAAAAATATATATATATATATATATATATATATATATATATACCGTATTTTTCGGACTATAAGGCGCACATAAAAATATATATATTTATACAAAAAATCGGCAATATATATTCCGATGCGCCTTATGTATGAAAATGTTCACACTGTGCTGAAGAATATAAAATGTTTTAATATGATTTGGTAAGCGACGAAGCCACTCCCCTTGCTTATTAAAACATACATTATCCTGATATGTACTTGCTTCCAAATCCGGTAATTAATTATTCCCCAAAATGGCACCTGTTATCATATCATGCTTACGAATCGGATTTCAAATCAAGGCCATCAGCCTACAGTACAACATGGGAATATTTTTTACATGATTGTTTTCAACATTAATGAATCAATGGTACGGAAGTGAGGAAATAGAAGATGACCTCGTCAAGTAAAGAAGACGAATTTAGATTTCCGAGGGAACAACCTATATGGCCACAATTAGATGTACAAAAATGAGCAGTGGATTATTGAACATAAAATCAAATAAAACAGCAGGTAGAAAGCGTCTCTACAGTCTCCATTCGACTTAAGGCAACAGCGATGGCACGAGATATGAAGATCAACGAATTTCAAAGGTCCTTCTTGGTGCTTCCGTTTTATGAAAAGGCGTCATTCCATCCGCACAAGAAAACTTTCGCAAACTGCCAAAGGATAATGAAGAAAGGATGGCCATCTTCCGCACTTTGTAAGGGAGATAAGCGAAAAAAGAGAGTCAAAATGGATTTATGAAATGACGAGTTTATCCCCCACCATGGTTTGACATAAGGAACCGTATTGAAAAAACAGGGACGTCTACTGTAATCTTTAAACAGGGAATGAGAAACATCCTTCAATAGTTTTTGCCAGGCTAATGGAGTACTTAAACTAACCCATGGTCATTTTTAATTAGGAAACTTTGCCAAAGGAAACGCATCCTCT